CACACACACACTCAAATGCGAGAGGGCGCGCTCTTCGCATTGTTTAAAGTTCACTAATTTCATGCATATGGCCGCTTGGGCGCATTTGTGTTAGTTAAGTGATTTATTGTCGCAAAATTGTCATTATTAAAAATTAATGATGTCATAATTAAGTGTGCATGTTGCTGCTGCTGCTGCTGCTGCTCTGCTGTGCTGTGCGTTTTATTGTAAAATGATTTACACGGCATCACATTAGCTGCTCTGGACAGTTTAGCAGCGGAAATTTATGAACTGCAAACAACAAATATGCTCGATTCAATTTAATTTCCATAATTTAATTAGTCTCTTGTGTTTGGATCCCATCTCCCCCCATTGAGGGGGTGGTTTCGTCTCAGGGGGTTGTATTTGCATAACCCGTCGGTTGAGTCCAAAGGCTCATCTGCCTTTTGGTGGGGGGAAGGGATTCGGGTTTCGAGAAAACAAGAAATACAACAACGAACCGGATATGATAATGCTGCGAGAAAGTCATCCGCCCCTCCGATATTCACAGAATATTATTACATCATAAGCCATAATCCATACGTAATCGGGAATAGGAATTTTCACTCTTTTAATTGGTTTTAAGCTTATTTTTTGTGCTTGATAGCTCAGAATTCATATATTTAGAGCATGGAAATATGATTCAAAATATATATAACATAAAATTTGGGAGATAAAAGTTTAAGCAACTTAAAGTGAGTAGCAAGAAAATTAAAAGGTGAATTTGTAAATATGAATATTTGCTGAATTTTAATCAAAGAAATGCCTAAAATATAAATAAGACAAATTATTATTAAGACAAGAAAATATAAAATAGAAAACTGCATTACTTATTCTTTGACACTTAAATAAAGTTAAGTTAAAGCTTAAACTCAAATAAAATAATATTAAAAAATTGTAAGGTCAGAAACTAAAACAAAACCTACAATTTTGTATTTATTTTGTACGTTAAGTTAAAGTTTAAACTCAATTAAACTGATTTCTGGTAAAGTCAGAAACTAAAACACCTTCAAATTTTAAATTCGAACAAAAAATAATTTACGAAACCTACTCTTTTGTATTTATTTTGAACGTTAAGTTAAAGTTTAAACTCATATTAAATAATTTTAGGTAAGTCAAAAACTAAAGCACTTGAAAATGATTAATTTAGACCAGTAAAAATCCACAAAACCTACAATTTTGAATTTATTTTTTCCAGGATATTCCCTGGGTCGACTCCTCATTTCTTATACAGCATAAACGAATGGCTGGAAATTTGTCACTTTGTCAAATTGCAATATTTGCAGGTCTGGTCCGAATGGGTTTTGCTTTCGCTCCGACGGCCATGATCGATGTAGTCTTTTATCTGCGGGTGTGTCCGGGTCAGGAAAAGCGGAAAAACGGGAAGAAAAACCCCGGGCCACCCACGACTTCAATGTATTAAAAATAATCACCAAAATGGCCAATAGCCGAAATGGCCGCCAACTGCAATCGCCACTGCATATGCATGAAAATAAAGAAAAATACAATTCTACAGCGGTGTCTATAAATCTTTTAGCCGCAATTTTTATGGCAGCGATAAAATGGTAGTTCCTGTCCACAGAAATTGATGAAATAAAAGTTACCCTATAAAAGGGTATATTATTTTTTCTGCGCAGAGTTTTAAATGAATTAAGAAGTCTCTCTCTCTGGGGTTAATTTTGTGTGAGCATCCGCTTGGAGTCTGCGGCTGGCAGCTTCTGCACTCCTGCCAGTTGTCCTGCTGCCAATATGTGTCAGGTTAGACCCGGTCCATTGGTCCTTTTGGCCAGATGCAATGGTCAAGCCCCCCGGCCCCCCTGACATGCAACATAACTTCGTGCACAACTCACCGCAAATCAGTTTGGCCAGAGAGTTGCCATCCTGCCACCGCCATCGCCACCGACCGACCATCTGATTGATTGAAAGTCAGCCAAAGTTGGAATTGAGTTTGCAGCAAATAAACTGATGGACCGGGCCATGCCCTGGGCCGGGGCTAATTGGGTCACCAAAGTGGCCAGGTGATTGCAAGCCCAAAAATACCCTGACAAAAAAATAGGGCTTAGAGCCTTAAAGACTAAAGACTATGAGAAAGGTTTATATCAAAGAAATTACTTAAGAATTTTAGGGTTTAATTGTAATTTAAAACTCTCCAAATCCTTATTAAAATATAAAGTATATTAAATCATGTAATGATAAAATATTCTGCATTCTTTCCTAGTAACCAAAAGAACTCCCTTTTGCAGGGTATCAGGCCCTGGGCAGCAGCTGCCTTTTGGATTCATTCAAATAAATTACACTTGCCATGTATTAATTTAAGTAATAATTTCCCATTGGCAAATCCCTCGATGCTTGAACAAAATAAAACAAAACCCGAGCACAAATGCAATGCAAAAACTGAACGAAACAAAGAGTTTTGCAAAAGTTTATGCAGAGCCGAAACTATGAGTGGAGTATGCACAAAAAACAACTGCAAAAATGTCAACTTGTGCAAATAATGCAAATATTTATACAAATTATTATGTGATTTCGATGGGATATTTAGGGGGTTGAGGGACAGGAAAAAGTTATGCAGTTTTCGGGCCATGTCCCTGGCCACGCGGCGTATACGTAACAATTTTCCTTTCGGCCATTAAAAAGTTGATTTTAATGCTGGTGCAACAAAATAAAAATATACACAAAAAAAAAAAGCAGAACAGAAAGCAAAAACCCCACTGAATCAACCGACAACTGGCTGCACTTTTGCATTTAAACGTGATTTTAAATAACCGCAACAGATTTTGTGGTTTCATGTTGCATTTGCCGTTCGATAAGCGACAGCCTGACATCCCCGCGGTGGCACTGGGTGGTCCAGGGTGGACCCGAGTGGCCATGGTTGGGTCCTGGTTATGGTTCTGGGTCCTGGTTCTGGTCCTGGTCCTGGTCCTGGTTGAGTTGGCTTGATAAGGTCCCCCGGTTACACAAGCCGGTGGGATAACTGGGCACTGAAACAGTGGACACTGCGGTCAAGTGCATTTAAAATGCAAAATGCACGCATTTGCGGCAAAATGCCTCCACACTGGGATTATGTGTTAAAAATGCCCAATTTCATAATTTTAAAATTTCAATTAAATGTTAAGCATGAAATGTAATTCTATAGATATATTTCAGGGTGAGCTTTAGATAGTACTTGCTCGGTTATGCGGTATTGAAAGGCATTTCAGTGATAAATAGTATGCAATTTTTCTACTAAGGCTTCTATCTTAGAAACTTTTTTGAAAACGAACAACTTAAAGTAATTTTTATCCTTAATCTTGGAAAAGTTTGATGGAAAAGTTTTTAATAAAATGAAAGTATAAGTAATTTCCTTATGTGTAAATATGTGTTACAAATGTACAATTTCATAATTTTAAAATTTCAATTAAATGTGAGGGAATGTTAAGCATGAAATGTATTTCTATAGATATTTTTCAGGGGGAGCTTAAGATAGTACTTGCTCGGTTATGCGGTATTGAAAGGCATTCAAATGTGGAATTTAATGAAATTGTTCTACTGAGACTTTTATCTTTGAAGATAATTTAAAAAATGGTAAATTTAATGTAATTTTCATACTTAAACTTGGAAAAGTATGTCATAAAAAGGAAATTTAAAAATTTCTTCATACTTAAACTTGGAAAAGTATGTCATAAAAAGGAAATTTAAATAATTTCTTTATGTGAGATTATGTGTTAGTAATATACAATTTTATAATTTTAAAATTTCAATTAAATGTGAGGGAATGTAATGGATGAAATATAACTTTCTAGATATTTTTCAAAGCGAGCTTAAAATAGTATTTTCATGGTTATTTGGCATTTAAATAAGAAATTGAATGTAATTTTTCTGCTAAGACTTATACCTTTACAGATATCTAAGAAAACAAAGAATTTAGATTAATTTTTTACTTTAACTTGAAAAAGTAAGAAAGTAGGAAAGGAATATTAAATTGTATAAAGTTAATACCTCTCATAAATTGAAAATTTCAATAAATTCCTCTGTTAAAATTCCAAAAGCACTTCTAAAAAAGGAAATTTTAAATGTTTTAGCTTCCATAAATGATTTAATTTAAAACACAATTCATATATGTAACCTTCCAATATATACCTTTATATTTATGTAAAATAAATTCCTTTTTAAACTTAGATTTCCGGTTAATTATTATGTTTAAGTTAATGATTCCCCAACACACTTTACACACACGCGGAGGTCGAAGCCTTTCTATACAAAATTATGGGGCAAAATACAAACGGTTTTTATATATATATATATATATATATATAGAAAATCCACCGATATACGATACACGATATATGCGTGGACCTAAAGTCTGCTATTTTTTTTGTTGGGTGGGTTTTGCATAATGCTTGCCATAACACTTTATATATATATAGTCCTCCCCTTTACCGTATTGGTATTTTGATATTCTTTCACGCTTTGTCTGGCCTAATCTTAAATATACAGTGTTATTCGATTGTTTGGGGATTACGTTAATGGTTTTGTCCGGTTAATGCTATCATTATCTTTAATGTACTTACGCTACGCACACTTAAAAAAAAATATATACCTCCTGCTGATTGCAATCAAGGTTTGATTGATTTTTGGGCAAGAGACAAAAAAAAAATGCACATTTAATTGCTAATTATCGTTATCGTAATCGCTATCGATATTATTCCTTTTTTTTTGTTTATCCTTTCTGCCTATGTATATATGTGTATGTGTATTTATTCGCAAATCGCCATTTTGGCCACTGCGCTGCACTGATTCCTCCTTGATCCTTTGCGCTCTTTATCCTTGTCATCGTCGTCTTCCTTTCGTTTTGTCCTTTATCCTCGGCATGGCCATGTTTTATATGTATGTTTAGTGGAAGCTCCTGTTGCACGCCGCTCGCTACTTACGTCATACGCCTACGCTTACGTTATGCTGCGTTACGCCCTTACGTCATTTTTGGGGGGTTTTTTTTCTTCTTTTTAGTTTTGTTTCCAACTGGTCGCTGTGAAAAATGGGGAATATTTTAGAGATTTAAATAAAGTAAAGGGAAGCATTGATAAGTGGAAAATAAGAAAGTAAAATAGTGGCCTAATTTAAGTTTATTTTTTAATATTTATATACCTTTGTAGTAGACCTCGCGGTACATGGTGGGGCAGGCGGCCTTGCCGTTCGTCTTCGTCGTTTTGAAATCAATATTTGTGCGTATAGGTCGATGCAGGAGCGGCTGTGGCGGCCGATAATTGTTGCCCAGGGGCGCCTTCGGGTGGTCGGGGCTGCCCTGCATTAGGCGCCGCAAAGCGTGCAACTAAAAGAATATTAAATTAATATAAATTATTAATTAAAATCTTTTAGATATTTAATGAAATTGTTATGGTAAGATTGATTTATTTAGACCCTTTTTTCCACAGCATTTAATAACTTTTTAGTTTTTCCCCGAATGGCATACACTTCGTATACGTGATTTTAGGTATATTCAACAATGAAGCCATTGAAAGTTTTCAAAATGCTAAACAAAAAATGCTAAACATACATTGTGATCAATTTTTTTCTGAACTTAATTCATTTAAATATCTTAATAAATATATATTTTTTATAAGATGGTCTTTTCCATACATGCCGTACATTGCGTATACGTGATTTTATGTATATTTTAGCAAAGGAAAATTTTTCCGCAGGCCGTGTAACTAAAAAAATATAAAAGCTTATTTATAAGTAAATAATACATTTTTAAAAATCTTCCAAAAATCTTTATAATTTCCCATACACGGCATACACTGCGTATACGTGATTTTATGTATATTCTTAAAGGGAAATTTTGGAATTTTTTTAAAATGAATCGTCGCTTTTAAACTTTTCTTGTCACAATTGAAATCATTTAATTATTAAAAAAAAAAATAAAAATGGTAAGCATTAAATATCTTTGCAGTTTTCCCATACATGGCATACATTGCGTATACGTTATTTAATTTATATTCAAAAAGGAAACCTTTGGAAGTTTTCAAAATTCTAAAAGAATGTTAATGTAATAAATTTGTGTTACAATTGAATTAATTTAAAAAATAAATGATAAATAAATATTTATGGAATGATATTTTCCATATACGGCGTACATTACGTATACGTAATTTTTTGGATATTTAGTCGAAACCTTTGGAATTTTTCAAAATGCAGCTTATCTTACTAAATAATAATGTTAAACATTAAATTTCTTTTTAGTCTTCCCATACATGGCATACACTGCGTATACGTGATTTTTTGTATATTCAGGCAAAGGAAACTTGTAATTTGCAAAAAAAAAGAATTAAATATACTTCATTATCATTTCTTTTTGCATTTGAAATCATTTAAATATCTAAATAAATATTTTTCCTAAGATTGTACTTTCAATACATGCCATACTGCGTATACGTAATTTCTTTGTGCATTAAGGCAAGAGAAACCTTTGCCGCAGGGCATGAAAATAAAATACTATAAAACCTAATTTTTAATAAATAATATGGTAAAATGGAACTTTTCACACCATTAAATATCTTTATAATTTTTCCATACATGGCATACACTGCGCATACGTGATATATTTATATTAAAAAAAACTATTTGAAGTTTTTAAAATGCTAAAAGACTATTAAAATTACCTTTGAATCATTTTGCTTCACAATTGAATTCATTTAATTATCAAAATAATTATTTATGGTAAGATGGAATACACTGCGTATACGTAATTTTATGTATATTTAGGAATAGGAAACCTTTGCCGCAGGCCGTGCCAATAAAGAAATATAAAACCTACTTTAAAAAAAATATATATGATAAAGTGGAACTCTTCATAGCATTAAATATCTATACAAATTCCCATACACGGCATACACTGCGTATAAGTGATTTAATTTTTATTTAAAGAGGACAACTTTGGAATTTTTTAAAATGAATCGCCGCTTTTTAATTTAAATTATAGAAATAAATAAATATGGTAAGTATTAAATATTTTAATAGTTATCCCATAGATGTCATACACTGCGTATACGTAATTCGGGCAAAGAAAACCTTTGACATTTTTCAAAATGCAGCTTTTTAACATTTTTTGAACCAATTGAAAATATTTAATTATCTAAATAAATAATTATAGTAAGTATTAAATATCTTAATAGTTATCCCATCCATGTCAAACATGTACGTAATTTTTCGGATATTTAGTCAAAGGAAACCTTTGAAATTTGTTAAAATGCAACATTGTAATCCCATTGAACTTCCATTTTTTTTGAAGCAGGCATAATTTCCCTAGTGCTTCTCTCGAGACACGGAAGTAGATCAACAATGCCAATGCGTAGATGAAGATAAGCTCGGCAACCCATCATACCCATTTATCCGTTCAACTCAGGCAGTCTGCCAAGCATTTAACGTGCATAATTATAAACTTTTTCGCACACAAGGAGCAGCAGCGCACCAATCATCGATCCTACTTGGTAAAAAATCACGCTTGACACAAATTGCTAATCCTAAAAATAAGCGCTCGCTGAGCAAAACGAAAAAGAAAAAGGAAAATTTTCCTGTGAAACCCAGACACAGCATCCATGAGACAGCAGCAGCAGCAGCAACAACAACGAGTCAATAACACTTAATCTACTCAATCTGTTTATCAATTGACTTCCGTCAAAATCGCTTTTCACGACAACGTGGCCGGGTTGATGTTGATTGAGGAGAGAGAGAGAGAGCTTTAGAGCCACGTGGGAGGTTTAAGGGTTTCCGGGTTTCCAGAGGAGTGGCAAAGGGGATCCCCCATGGAGTTTCCGTTCAAGTGTGAATTACGCTGGATACTTTCATGAATGTGTGTGTTTATAGCCCGAAAGTATGCAACACTAAATGGCACTCAAGGATTAAAGCCGGTTCTTAGGTGGATTTGCGGTTAAGGATAGTGAACTTGCAATTAAATGCAGAAACCACAGTTAATGCAAAGGGGAAATCTAACAGTAACTGCCACCTAATTAAATATTTAAACTAATTAACTAGATTTTGTATAGAAAACCACAATTAAAACGGCTTAAAGTATATATAGAAACCATAACTATTCAAACTTTATGTATTCAAAAACGTTTAAAACCTACTTTAGTTGAAGTAAAAATATCATTATAATACCATTCATGAAATTCCTTTTTTTGTGACTTTTTAGGATTTGTAATTTAAAGAAAAACTGTTGCCATAATCTATTAAATATATCATGTTTAATTAAATATTTAAACTAATTCACTAGATTTTGGAAAACCACAGGTAAAGTAGCTTGAAATATGTATATAATCAGGAAAACCATTTTTATTTAAACCTTAAGAATTCAGAAAACTTCTTAAGCTTTGTCTTTTTGAATTTAAAATAATATTATATTAAGCCATAAATCAAATTCCTTTTTTGGTGACCTTCTTAGTATTTAATTTAAAGAAAAAACATTGCCATAATCTTTTATATTTATCATGTTTAAGCTCTAACTCTACAGCATAATTACAAACTGGTTTTCTGGTGACGTTTTTTTTCCTGGTTTCGTGACTCGGTTTACGTTTAACCCTATAGACCCTCACCTTCCAGGAGTGCACGTTAATGGGTTAATTGCAATTTCAGCTCATGTCGCGCAGCTTCCTGTGCTTTCCCCGCCTTTCGGTCCATGAGTGTTACTTTAATTTGGTAAATTATGCTTTGCCAGCAAGGTGCAGTCGCCATCTGGCCTCTCTTTCTCCACCTAGCTGCACTGCTCCTTTGCCGTCTCTTTCTCTCTATCTCTCTCTCTTTCTCTCTCTCTTTCTCATCTTGGCTTCGTGTGCGGTGCAGCCAGTAAATTACGGAGTCGTGGACCGGAGTCCGGGGTCCTCCATGGCTGCCACAAGTTGTAATCATGTGCCCATGGGTGCCATTGAGCTTGTTGAAGTTTTTATGAGTCTGCCTGCTGCAACCGTGTGTGTGTATGTGTGTGTGTGTGTGTCTGTCCCTGTCTCTGTCTGCCATTTCTCCCATCTCTCTCTCACTTTGTTTACATTGTTTACACGTATGCCACCGCTGCTGCTGCTGCTGGCCACCGTTCAACCGCTCCCGAATCCTTTGCTTCGTCCTTTTTGGCGTCTTTATTACAGCACTGCACTTAATAAACATTTGTGTTAAATTTTTCTCCTTTTTTCTCATTGCTCTCCTCTCTAGCTCTGTGTGTGTGTGTGTGTGTGCTTTTTTCCACCATTCCTTTGAGTTATGGACACTATGCACTTTGTTGCTCCTCCAGCGGCGGCAACTTAATTTAAAACTTAAATGAAATTAGCTAATAAAACAGAAGACAGCCGTTCGTTGGAGCGACGGACATCGGTGGAGCACTGTATACTAATTAACAAACATTAAGGTGCTCATCACTCAAAAAGTTCATGGGGGAGGAGGAGCAGGAAAAGCGAAGCAACTTGATGAATTCGGTTGGAAAAAATGAGTTCTTAACTTTTACTTTGGGCCAAACAAAAAAAGTACTTTCCAGGTTTCTTCTTATTGCTTTCTAGGCAGATATGCCAGGGGTTTCTTATAATATACTTTCTGAAAATTAAAAATAAAAACAAACTAAGACCCACCTGTTTCTTATACTATACTTTCTTAAAATTAAAAATAAATCAAAACTAAAACCCACCTGTTGTTTTGTTATATAAATGGGCTTATTGAGCACCACCCAGGTGACTGTCTCATGACAGGCTGGTGCCGTTGTTGATCCATCGTATGTCATATAGTGATCCGTATCCGGTAAAAGTCCTCGGATGGAGAGGCGCTTCACGAAAGCCTCATCGCCGCCATACCGGATGCGCTCCAGCTGATCGGTGAGCATGCGCAGTTCGGGATTAGAGAGATCACCAAGCTGCATAAGAAAGAAAGTGAGGGAATTTCATATAATATATATATATTTTTCACTTAAGGCTCTATGTGTAATAAAATTCCTAAAGATTTCTTATCGAAATTATCGGAAAAATCAAGTTATTAATATCTGAACTGTCTGAAATTAAAGGTTCCACAACTATGTCCATGAATATATTTTGAAGTTTATTTATTTGTATTAACATATAATGGGACGAAATCGGTAATGGAACATATGTTGTCTATATTACTTTCAAAATATATTCAAATATATTAAAAATGCACTTCTTAATATATTTTTAATTTCGTTTAAGGATAGTATTATAGTTTTTATAGTAATATATATAAAATACGTAAGACGAGTTTGCTGTTATCGAATGAATCGTATATATATCGTTTTTTAAATTATAGATAAATGTACAAAGCTTGTACTACTTAAAAATTTAAGCTAAAGCGCATTGATAGAGCTTTATTAGAAATAAATATATATTTTAATGATATAATATATGATAATATATATGATAATGATATAATGATGATATATATTTTTATGATAATGAGTACAAAGCTTGTACTCCTTGAAAATTTAAGCTTAAGCGCATTGATAGAGCTTTATTAGAAATAAATATATATTTTAATGATGTCTTTGTTATCGAATCTATTGTTTTTTATTGCTCAGAAATCTAATTTCATATTTAAAATATAATATATTATTAGTAATTATTTCATTTTTAAATCTTTCTCAATAGAAATCGATTAAACAATAACCAACTAATATTGAGATAATTTAAAAATGAATACACTATTTTTTTTGCATTCAATATTTGCATCCCTTAAACATACCGTTGCAACGTATATATCGATCGATAATCTATTTATCGATAGCAATTTGCAAATCACCTTGGGGGATTACTAACCTGCAGCAGAATGGAGACACCAACGATTCCCTGGGCACGATTGAGGGCATCTGAGAAATTTGCATACAGCTGGGAATTGTATCCGAATATTTGTATCTGCGAAAACAAAAGGATAAACTTTGCGTTAACAGGGAGAAAAAGAAGGACATACATATATATATATATATATATATATATTTAGCTATATATGGAGACTGGAGATATCCTTTTCTATATATATTTTTTTGTTTCTGTGCTGCCTTCGTTCTTTATTTCTTGTGTGTGCTGTGGCCAAAAACTTTATTGTTGCTCAATTTAAGCCCAAATGCATACAAAGGCGGCGACAACGGCCAACACAGCACAGGCACAGCAGGAAGGGGGCGTGGCCAAGAGGGGGGAGAAGGGGAGGGTCAACTAAGGCTTTCGCCTTGTTTCGCATAAATTGCCCCAAAATAATCCCAACTATCAACAAAATGCACACAAACACAAATACACGTGGGCAAACACTACTCGCACGTTTGTTGGGGGAAGATCAAGCAGCATAAACAACAAATATTTTCCTTTTTGGCCGAGACACCAAAAAGGGCCAAGACGGGTGGCAGACGGAGAGAGAGGGAGAGAGAGCCATGTCTGCTCTTAGCTGCTAAATCTTTCATCTTCCCGCCCATTTCCTCTCATGTGCATTTGCACTTTTGTTTCACGTCGACAACAACACGCCTACAGAGATGGAAGAAGAATCAAAAGAAGAGGGAACAGTAGAGAAAGAGGTAGAGAAAGAGGTGGAGAAATGAGCGGAGAAAGCGGCAGAGAATGAAGGGACAGAAACAGTCAGACACCACAAATGAATCCTAAAGCAAAGGCTTAGAGCGAGGGTTGCATCAAAGGTTTATCTGTTATTTTGGACGAGGACAAAGAAGAGTGAAAAGTGTGTAAATTATAAAAAAGTTACCGTATAATACTGTTAGTTGTAAATAAATTACAATTTAACTTAATTCTTTAAACAGAATAGAATATTTTATATTTGTAAAGAGGATTGCATTAAAAGGTTTATCGGTTATCCAATTGAAAGAATAAAGACTATTGATGAACCTTGTGTAACATATAAAAAATATTATATATTTAAATTAGGAACAAATTAATCATAATTAATTTATCTATAACAATTTATTAAAAGTAGTTATATTTTTAAGACAAAACAAATTGAATAATTGTGTAAAGGGTTTCATCAAAAGGTTTATGGGTCATCGAAAGAAAGGTTAACAAAATTGATCACCCTTTTTAAATATTATGTGTTAGGTAAAGAAAAGATACTGTATAATAGAGTTAAATAATATAAGATGGGATGGAATCAATTATAATATAAATTAAATACTTTAATAAGAATAAATTAAATAATTTTAAAACTGGTTGCATCTAAGCTTAATTAATCATTGAAAGATAGGAGAAGATCGATTAGCTATACACCATATAAAGTATAGAAAATTTAATGCATGGACTGTTGAATAATAATAAATCAATAATAAAGAAAAAATAAGTATTTCAACTGATGGTAAATTGCCTAATATCCAAGATTAATTATGTTTTTTTTTTTTATAGAAGTTTTCATCAAAGATATATCGGTTATTAAAAGAGTGTAAAACAGTCGATGCACCTTGTATAACATAATGTGAAATGTATAAAAACGTAATTGTATTATATATTTAAATAATAATATATTGGTTATAATACATTAAATCTATATCAATTAATAGATTAACTTCCCTTGAGATTTAATTGTTTAAACAGAACACAATTTAGCCATTGCAAAAAAGGTAAAAATTGATAGACGACACAAATTATTTATAAAGTTTAAAGAAGAACAATAAAATACATTATCAGTTGAATTTATCATTAATCAATTATAAAGCAAACAAATAATTAAATATAACTTAAAAATCACATTTTCAAGATGCTTTTCCAGACAGAATGAAGAACTCTTAAAGGATTGACCCCTAAGAAAATGAACAAAATTCTAGTTGCAAATAAAACAAGTTACAAATTAAACAAGTTACAAATAAAACTTATGTAAATATCTTTTAAAATAAATTTTAGCATTTGTTTTATTTACTTTTAGTAACTCTCTTGAAATTTTCTCATTTATTGAATGATATTTTATGACTATCTCTGCTCGAATTTACTTTTCAATCTTCCCCTGCAAATGTTTGTGAGCTTGTGTAACATGTGTACATGGATTTTCGGGGGGATTTCGGTCTGGGATATGTTTGCCCCTCTGCATTTGAGTGTGTGGTGGCATGGTGCAATGGTGGCATGGTGGTGTGGTGGTTTGGTGGTGCAAGGGGCTCTGCATATGAGGCTGCACTCGCTGGTTGACCAGGCCAGACGCACCGAGCGGAAGGAAATGCTGCAGACAATAGTGAAAATAATAATAATAGCAGAGAGCGCACACACACACACACACACACTGGGAGGTGGGCGTGGCCGTAGGCGCTGGGCAGTTAATAGTCGTCCTGAAACCCCGCCGCCTCCATACCGGAATTCAGCACATGTCCTGCCTCGATTTTTAACCTCGTCCTGGGAATTCCCTGGGAAGGAGAATGGCTGAAAAAAGAGCAGCAGCGAAGCAGCATGCATTTAAATATTAAAAAACTACATACTGCAATTTTAATGTGTGCCCAGCAAGGCAAATAAAAATTAAATTAAATTAAAATTTTCCCAAAGTTCCTTTTCCCGGAGTGTTTGGTGAAGTTGCAATTGCTGGAGTCGTCCTGCCGTAAAGGCGACGAGCGGTCTGGAGTCCTCGAAAAATGGCAACTAATGCAAATAGAACTAAAGTTGCTATCAAAAAATGAAGAACTCGGCGCGTACAGTGCGTTTCGCAACTATATTTCGAATAAAAGTCAAAGTTGAGGCAAGGAAATCATTTTTTAGCTAAATATCGGTAATGTTTTATCGACATTTTTATCGATAATTGACATACTTTTACTCTTATTGAAAATAGAGTAAAAGAAACATTACCATTTAAGTTGAATTCTTGTTTTAATAAAAACTATAATACTTTGACTTTGCTAGTCAACTTAACAATTACAGTTTGGGAATAAAATAAATTGTAGTGAAGAGAAAAACTTTGCAATCGAGGTATTTATATCGTTTACAGTCAATGTATCGATAACTATTAAAATCGCTATTAAAATCGTTTGAATGTGGATGAAATTAAATGAAACTTTCAACTTATATTGTGGGTTTATATGAAAACCATGTACTCAATATAAATTTCAAACATAACCTACTCCTTTGAAAGAAAATGAACATGACATGTCATTTGTGAAACGCACTGTCTTCATGCATATATGTATGTACGTGCGATTTGTATGTACATATAGTTATGTATATTTTGCTATGCAGATGCAAATGAAATTTTGACGAGACCGTTGCAAAACTGAAGATGGTTAGTTCCGTAGCTTCCCTTTCATGGCTCTCCGTTCCCGTACCGCTCCGTTGTTGGTCCTGCCTGGGACCCTTGAAGGATTCAAGGACTCGAGGACTGACCACAGTCCGAGCATAAGTTATGTTCACTCACAGCACACACACACAAAAGCTACTTGCAACGAAAATAGGAACAGATCCTGGGCGTTAACTGCATGACCAAACTGAACAACTAAGCCGGAGCAGCTTCGCCACTTGAGCGGCAGATGGCGCCAGCAGTTTCCGGCACTTTTTGTTTGGCTAATTAAAAATGTTGAGGAAAATACGCAATGGAAGTTGAAAAAGCCTGAAACGTACTGCTTTTTTAAGCATACCTTAAAGCCAAAGACTGGAAAATGTGTAATTATATTTTTGAGAGAGAGATTACCTATGCTGAGATACTTTAAAAAGGTAAATAATAATAGTAATTCATAATTAATAGGTTTTCCATTAAGAAATCACACCTTGCTATAAATTAAATTAAAAATAAACATTACAAATTAGGTGCACTTACCTACCGATTAAAATGAATAATAAATCATGCCCTAAGCTTTAATTTCTTTACATTTTCACCCACTTAACCTTTCTCAAATTTGTTAACGCTTTCACACCTTTTGGCCTAATATCTTTGAAATTGAATCATAAAGGCAATGAACCTCAGTCCCTCTCTCTCTCTGTGTGTGTGTGTGTTTAGTAGCCAAATACTGGGCAATAACAACAAGAAAATATACAATATTTGACCACAAACTAAAATGTTATATTTCCGTTTCATTAAACAGCCAAAGCCTGTGGCAAAGCAAATAAATACAAGCACGAATGCCGGCAACAAATATATTTGCAGGACTAGATAGAGGAGAGGGATAAGGACGAGGACGAGGACAGGGATAGGGACTGGGACCGGGATCAGGGCAACAACAAAAACAGAAAATAGTGTAAGTACCAGCAAATAGCCGGACAACAACTCGGCCAAAACGCAAAGAGCCAAAAGCCTAAGCGGTGTTAGGGGATGTCTCTACCCTCTCTCTTTCGCACTCTGTGTGTGTGTGTTTGTTTGTTTGTTTGAACAAAGCAAGCTCCTGGCATATTTCTTGGTCCACACACACACACACACACACACACACACACACACACACTGGGGCAACACGCAGGACCTATACAGATACAGACACACGCAGAGCAAAGGCAACTTAATCAGATCAATTACACATGTTTTCACTGCATGGATTCCACAGACCGTAGAGCCGAGAGCCCCCAGTCCCAGTCGTACTCACAGCCATGCTTTACCCCAAACCCAGAGCCCCTCGTCCTTCGTCCTTTCAGTTCCCCCCCCGGTTCACCGCGTCCTTTGCTGACAACGAGAGACAGCACGAGCAGGAGCCACGCCAGCTGCTGAAACTTTGCCTGGCCGCCACAGTGGGCGGTAAAAGCCTCTTTCCACATTGATTACAGTGGAAATATACCTTACAATTTTATATATAAATCTTAAATGATTTGCATTATCTTTTACTTGGATTGTAAATTAAATGATAGCTCAAAACAATTATCAAATAATATATATGAACATCAGTAAATATGAGCATTATCAGCACTGATTTCTGTTTGCTAATTTATGATCTTTACTTGACAATGACGATAAGATACATGTACTTTACACC